GTTTAACTTACTTAACCCCTGCGATAGGGCTTCCGGACAAGACCAAAAGTCAGAGTGAATACAATGACCGTTGTGGCAAACGATGTTTCCGCCTTTGTGTTACACTAAACAGCGCAGACTCGCGCATCCGCCGCTGTTGATGAAAACAAATCAGGATTTTAAATAAGCCAGAGGTCTAGGGGGGCAGATGAGTATAGGGGAGGAGCTCACTTACTCGAGGGGAGGACAACTATGTCAAGGCCGAAGAGAGAATGGGTGAGCACGGTGTACATGCCGTAGAAGACAGTACGTTTAAGGGTTGTGACGAGGACGCTGGTAATGGCAGATTCCACGGAGGAGTAGAAGGAGAGGACGAGTGGACTGGCCTCACTTGCCTGGGGTGTGAGCGACACGACGAACTCCACTGGCAAGTAGCTGGACCCACTAGCCGCCAGTAGGTAGAAGAGGGCTGAGATGAAAATGAGCTGCAAAAGCATACAAAAAGGACATCACCAGCACCAGTCCGCATGACAGGCAATTTAATTCAGGCATTTTTGTACGGTCCGGTGCAATTAACCTGCCGATGGAGGCGGTTACGCCTGACAGGATAGAAATTAACGGAAACAGGAAGTACTAAACGAAGCTCTCGTCGTTCTTAATTTGCCAAATCGCAGGAATGCAATTTTGTCGGCTGCTCCACCACTAAATGTTGTTGTTGTCGTTGGGTAAATTTCCACTACATTTATTATTTAAGAAAGGACTATGCCCAGACACCGTCAAGTTGTAGGGAAACAAGACTAGAGAATCCTACTTTGGGTGCCAGCTCAGCACGCGAAAGCCTCATCCTTCTGTAATACAGGATCAAGTGTAATAAAGAGTATACAGTCTGCGCAATACAAAGGAAATGAAATATAAATAAAGTTTATGAAAGTAGAAAAAACAGAAGTAATTATTTAAATAAACTAATTTTCGCCAAAATATAAAGTCACACTTTCAGACCGTCCCATCGTTGTGCGTTGCAAACAGTAGTGGACCTCGTAGCCCGAGGTGTTCAAATCCCATGTCCAGTCATTTTCTTGTTAACCGAATAGGACATGCAACCTACAAGTAATCTTTCAACCTTCGCTCTCACTCCTGCCCTTACTAACCCTTTAGAACAGATAGGCCTACACCGACCAGTTAGAGGACATACTGTAAGGACATCTGCAGATGTCCTGCAGCACGCCAGCTGCCAAAGGTGACGAGACAAAGCTCCTCCGAGAACTGTTCAGAGCAAGTGGCTATCCACGAGCTTATAGGGGTTAAGGCTACGACGATTAACCCTAAAGCCTACAATCTTCGAGACCCTGGTTCCTTAGGAGATAGGAGAAGTCTTGGGA